AAGTGGGAACCCACTAATTCCCAAGGCAGCCTGTTTCACTTTTGGACTGTGCTAATAATTAGGAAGTTTTCCCATTAAGTGTAAATGTGCAACTGCAGCCTCCTCTTCCCTCTGATTGGAGGCCTGGAGAAAAGAGTAACAAACTCCTCCCAATACCTTCCTTTACAGATGGCAGATACTAGATTTTCAGATTACTCTACTTTGCATTTACTGCTCTGCCTAGTTTCAACTCCCTAAAACAAGATACCCCCATACCCACATGCCAGATATGTCCTGGTGTCCCCTTCCCCTCACTTTCTTGCTTCCTTTTGTATGCTTTCTCTACCCATTAGATTGTAAGCTACTTGATGGCATGGACTGTCTTTTATTAATTGTATCCCTGGAACTTAGCATAATGCCTAATACACAGTAGGCACTCAATATATATGTATTGTGTTGAATTGGATTTCTTCTAGTTCTGACCTTTAGGACCAAACAGGACAAGTCTAATCCCTTTTCCTTCTGATAGCCTTTAAAATATTTGAAGCCATTTACCATGTAGTCCCTCAAGCCTTCTATACTCCAAATTAAATGGCTTTAGTTCTTCCAGCAGGTCCTCACATGGCATGAACTCAATGCCCTTTAGCATCCTAGTTGCCATCATCAGAATGCCATCCTTCATCTAATGTCAACTGGAGAATTGAACAATCTCTATCCTCCTATAAATCTGAAATAGGTAGTTCACTCAAAGTGTTGGAGGGGCACTGAAGGGTTAGGGAAAGACTCCTTTTTTTTTTTCTTGAGGCAATAGGGTTAAGTGACTTGCCCAAGGTTACACAGCTAATGAGTATCATGTGTCTGAGGCCAGGTTTGAACTCAGATCCTCCTGATTCCATGGCCAGTGTTCTATCCACTGTGCCACCTAGCTGCCCCTTAGATTTCTTGACATGACATAGAACATAAAGCTTTTTGCCCAACCCCCCTTAATAACATATTTAGGAAATGGCAATATGAACAAACTCATAAATCTAAGATCAAGAATTTTGGAAGTTTGGGGCAGCTGGGTGGTGCAGTGGATAGAGCGCCGGCCCTGGATTCAGGACGACCTGAGTTCCAATCTGGCCTCAGACACATAACACTTACTAGCTGCGTGACCCTGGGTGAGTCACTTAACCCCATTGCCTAGCCAAAAACAAACAAAAAAAAGATGAAGAAAAAAAAAAGAATTTTGGAAGTTGGATTTAGAAAAAAAAGTCATCATTGTGCTTCTTCCCCTTTCAGTCAAAGTTTACATCTTTATAGAAACATGAGAAATAGAGAATTATCTACTCTCAACTGGGCCCTCATGGCAGGAAGGAAACACTTTACTCCTCTCTAATTAATTCTCTAATTCACCACAAAACCTGTTTCAAATCTCTCAAGGCTCCCAAACCAATCCCTCTCCCACTCTTCTCAGCTAAAAATTTCACCTATTACTTTAATGAAGAAATCTAGACTGCTCTCCACAAACTCCCTCTTCTCATTACATCTCTGACACCCCCCAGAAACTCCTCCTTTGGTCTCTAAAGAAGAGGCTGCCCATTTTCTCATCATCATCTCATCTAATCCCTCTATTGTACTTGTACCTAGATCCCATCCACTCCTGACTTCTCCAGCTCTTACTCCTCCATTCCTGACTACTGACCTTCCTGGCTTCCTTTAAGTCCCACCTCTTTTGGAACCTTTCCCAACCCTTCTTAATTCCAGGGCTTTCCCTCTTCTAATTATTTCCAGTTTATCCATAAAAAGTTTGTTATGTACATACTTGTTTGCATGTTGTCTTCTCTATTAGACTATAAATTCCTTGAGGGCAGGGACTGTCTTTTACCACCCCCACTTTTTTTTTAATCCCCAGCACTTCATACAGTGCTTGCCAGCACATTAAGTAGGTGCTTAATAAATGTTGATTGACTGATTGTTGAATCTACTGGCCTTTTCTCACTCCTTATCCTTCTTAACCTCCTTGTAGCATTTGATAATGGTAATCACCTCCTCCAGGAAACTTTTATCTTAATGTCTTAGTTCTCCTCTTACTTGTCTAATTACTTGTCAGTCTTCTTTGCTGTTTCTTCAACTATGTCATGCTCCCTAACTGTAATTATAACCAAAACTCTGTCTTGAGCCATCTTTTCTCTCTGTAATCTCTTTTGGTCGCATCAGCTTCCACAGGTACAATTGTCATCTTTACACAGATCTCTCCATTCCTACTTTTTCTTGATATCCAGTCCCAAAACATCAACTGCCTATTGGACACCTCAAACTATAAGTCCTGTAAGCATCTTATATGCATCAAGTCTAAAATAGGACTTGAAAATCCACACTTCTTCCAAAACTTCCCTATTTACTGTCAAGAGCTCCCAGCCCCATCCTTCCAGTCAGTCAGGGTTACAATTTTGGTCTCATCATCAACATCTCATTCTGATTTACCCCAAATATCTGATAACTATCTAACTTTTTATTTCTATCTCCATAATATCTCTCAGAATGTTCCTTTCATCCTACTCACACAGCCATAGGTATACTTCTGACTCTTACAACTTCGAGCTTGGACTATTGTAATAATTACCTAATAGGTGTCCCTGCCTCAAGCCTCTAACTTCTCCAATGCATTCTTCACACAGCTGCCAAGTGATTTCCACAAAGCAGAGATCCAACTATGTCATCCTCCTATTCAGTGAACTCCAGTGTTTCCCTATTATTACCTCAATGACAAAATAAAAACTCCTCTATTTGACATTTAAAACTCAGTCACTTCCTATGTTTCCAATAATCTTATACATCCCCTTCTCCCTTCATTTATTCTCTGGTTCAGGTATACAGGGCTGCTTGCTGTGTCCCATCTCCTGTAGCCACCTTTGCCCTGCCGTTGATGCCTGGAATCTTCTGCTCTTAACCTTCACTTCAAAGAATCCCTGGTTAAGACTCAATTCCAACTCTACCACCTATAAAAGGCCTTTCCTGGTCCCTCAGATGTCAGTGCCTTCCATTCTATGATTACCTTTTATGTACATTATATATATAACTACACTTACCCAGTTTTTTGGTGATTTTTCACCAAAAAAAAAATTATTGTGAGATATGTATTTACAGTATTACCATACCCATTTCACAGATAAGTAAATTTAATTTGGCAATCTAACCAATAATTGCAATAATGCCAAACTGCTTCCCAATATAAAAACTCATCTTTTAAAGTCAAAGATCCTCTCCCACGATAATGTACGATTATGAATCTTAGAACTGTTGAATCTCCAAAGAATCAAAGTTGCAGATGTCCCAAATGTCAATGGAGATGTGTATCACTTAGTTTGCCAAATACAATCCAGCCCCTTGATGTCTTTCTGTTTGATTTTGCTCCCAATTCACTGTCTTTATTTATTCATTTATTTATTTCTTTATCTGCCTGTGGAAAAACAACATCTTTTCCTTCTCCACTGTCATCAAAAGTATCCTATTCACAAGATGATATATGAGGATATTAATGAAGAAATAATCAAAAAAAGGAAATGGGCAAGTCATGTAGCAAAAGTGAAGGATAACATTTAGACAGACCAAATACTGTACTAGAACACCAAAAATAATAAAAAGCTCTAGAGAGAAAAGCCACTAGGGGGTGGGGTAAATCTTGTATGGAGTATCTAAAGCAGAAAATAGACAAGAACTTCACAGAATAAGAAGGCATAGATAGGTTGCAATCAGCATTGATTGAGAGTATTAGTATTTCTTACAGTAATGAGATCACAAATACAGTAACACACTTATGGATTCTAATACTAATTCCAAAAAGATGTAGTATGAACAAAGTTATATGAGAAAAGTGAATAATACAAAATAGGTGTGGTAACAAGATCATAGATTTAAGCAAGGAAGTATTTTTAGAGGCCATTGAGTTCAACAACCTTATTTTACAAATGACAGAAGTAAAGCACACAGAGGTTAAGTGACTTTTCAAGGATCACACAGTTAGTAATAGTGTCTAAAGGAAGGATCTGAACCCAAGTTTTCCTGATTCCAAGCCCAGTGCATTTTCACTATACCAGGATGCCTCTAGAGATCATACTGAGCATTGGATGATACTTCGAATTCTAATCCTTTGTGCCATTTTTAGAGATATATTAATATGTTATCAAAATACTTATGACCAGACGACTTACGACCTTTCATGTTTGTATTTTATAGTTGAATTGTTATAGCTGTTTTCAGAAAACAAACTGCACATTACAAAATCTGGAATTTAATTTGAAAAGCCAAACTAGCAAGCTACTTTAGTATAGTGATTCCAAACATAAAAGACACCTGCCAGTTTTCCTTTACCATTGTCTTTCATGGCATTAGCTCTCCTTTAAGGAGTTATACATTCCTCAGATGTGGAGGAAGCTAGATTTGTTTCTCCTTTTTCAAAATAGAAAGATGACCATTTATGACTATAATATACTACATTTGTACACAAATATACCGCTTTTGTATACATATACATGTATATATACACAGATACACACATACACATGTCTATACACACGTATACACATACACACATACATGTATGTACACGCATACACACATATATGGATATATAAACAAATAGGGTAGGGTATAGTTTCATATTTAGGGCCAGCATAACAATGTGATACCAACATACCAATTAAATTTCTTCATTAGAAAACTAAAACATTCCTGAGACTTTTTACCTTTCAAAGGTTTAACTTTAATGTCATCAAGTTTAATTTAACCCAGGTTGGCAAACTTCAGTGAAAGGGTTAAATTCAGCCCTCTGCCTGTTTTTGTTTGGCCTATGAGCTAATGCATTAGCCCACCCCTGATTTAATCTAAAATTATTTCTAAATCATTAATGACTCTGCTTTAACAGTATACAAAATTAGAAGGAAAAAGTAGACCAAATTATTTTGTAGGAAAATAAGTCAAAATACAATAAGAAAGACAAGACACAGGCTTAAACAAAAACATATTATACCATTACCTACCTCCCAGAAATGCCATTAGCCACTTGTTTATGTTTACAGGGCTTAGAAGTAAGGGGTGATGAAGTAGGGGACAAGTTCAGTGGAGCAATCAGACTGTTGATTATTTCAGTCAGTTGTGCACTCTGCAAGAAAATCGTCAACTTTTTAGTATTTCCATGCATGAATCTGAACATTATCTAAATTTTTGATATCATACATCACTTTAATGTTTAACTTCTCCTCAAAAAAGTAAACTTTACATTTTTAGTAAAGGTCTTAATCTCACAATTTCTACTAGTATTGGCTTCTATCTTCTTATATGTACTTATACAAATGTAAGCAGCCAAAAATATTACTTCCTTTCTGCTACCCTTTCTCTACTATTGTCATATTGTCCTCTCTAACTATAAATGTTTATGCTGGTTTTTTAAAAAAAAAAATCTGTTTATTTGATGTTGATTCTAACCTTATTTAGAGTGTATGAAGACTATTTTCCTCAAAAATCAACTGTACAAGTAAGAGTGGCAGGCATGGTTAGACAGCGGCTTGGCTGAAAACAAGATCTGAGGGTTTTAGTAAATTAAAAGCTCAAAATCAAACAACAATGTGATGTGGCAACAACAAGAGCTAATGCAATTCAGAGAGGCATAAGTTCCAAAAATGATGGGATAGCTCCTCTCTGCTTTTCCCTGCTGAAACATCTCTGTAGTATTGTGTGCAGATCTAAGTTACACAGTACCTACAAAGGATATGAATTAATAGCCTGGAAAATGTATAGAAGACAAACATGATGATGAAAGGTCTTTCAAATCATATGAGGATCACCTGAAAGAACTGCGGATGTTTAGTCTGGAAAAGAGAGAGCTTGGAGATGACAGCTGTATTCAAGTAGTTAAAGGGGTGTCATTTGAAAAAGGGATTGGACTTGCTCTGTTTGGTCCCATAGGGCTGAGGAAGTTGCAGAAAAGCAAATTTAGGCTTGATCACAAGAAAAAAATTCCTAGCCATGAAAAGTATCCAGAAGCAGAAAGGGCTGCATTTAGAAGTTAGTGGGTACCCTGTCACTCAGAAACTTAGCAGAGCCTGATGACAGCTTATCAATCACCTTATCAAACTACAATAGGGGTTCCTTTAGGATATGAGTTTTAATCAATTAAAAGCCATTGGAATCCTTTCTAGTTCTAAAATTCTGTGATTTTGTGCTTTCTATCTTGACACATTTAAGCATATTTAATGCTAACATTTTAAGTAAATTATTCAATCTAGCATATTACCTGCAAATAATATGAACCTCTTTCCCCATCCTTCTATCCCCAACAAAGCCAACAAAATACCCCAATCCCATAGATATAGATAGGAAAGTTATATTACTTTGAAAAAAAGAAAATACCTCTTTTTGAAAGTCATGTGTATGAAACTAGCTAAGCTTGTTCTTAGGGATGGGGTTATTGAAGAATGAGAGAATTCACTACATGATCTATAAGCTCTCTTGCAGCTTTAAAAATTCTGTGATTATGAGAATGTGAAAGAAAAGTTAAATCGGCTTATATAGTCATGAAGGAACTATCATCATCTTAAGAGAAGAACATCGAATCATTTTTATATTGCAATCTCTTGGCAAATAAACAATCCCACTTTCCAAAATATATCTTTTATTATAATTAATTTCTTCCTTTAATTTAATTAATTAATAGATTATGGTTCTCAAAAGAAGGGGAGAAATCAGGTTCTTGTTATTCTTCCTCTACAAAAAATCAGGATCTTGAAAAGAGACCTTAGTCACACATGACAACAAAGGCATAGAAGACTTAACGAATGTTCAATGAGCTAGACTGAAAAATTAGCACTTTCAATCTTAATAGTGTCACTTTGTTACATTAATCACTAAGTGAAAAATCATACGAATGAATAATAAGGAAACAATAAAAGTTCAGACACATAATAGCTGCACCTGTCTTCTACAGAGACAATGCTGATAAAATTCTTTGTCTTGAACAGAATATGCTTTGATAATTCAATGGATCTGTTAACTCACAGATATGAGAAAGCCCCTCCAATGACACAAATTTTCATCTATCCATGTTTTCTTTTTGTTTTTTTCAATAGTTAACTCAAGAAAAAATTTTAAGTATAGAAAAATGCACATGCCAAAAAACTATAACATAACTCAACCCATGTACTTTATTCAAGAGTGAATCAATAACCAATATGAACTTGATATTTTAATAATACTTTAAGGAAAAAAATGAGTAAAATTTTTTTTTCCAATTTTATTCTGCAGAAACCAAGTACCAAATTTGTGGATATGCTGAAAAAGCAAATTTGAGGGCCATAACAACACAGTTTCTTAAAGAGAAGTTAAATGCACTTGTAAGGATATTTTCCAATAAAAATCAATTTAACCAACTCATAAGATTCCCTAATTCATACTCTGGAGTTACCCAAATGTTACATATTCAATAACTTATTAAGTGCCTACAATATGTAAGACATGAGGCTAAGCACCAAGTATACAAAGACAAAAATAAAACAGTCCCTACCCTACAGAACAGGTGTGATAATAGGATTGTAGATGCAGAGACAGGAGGGCCCTTAGAAGCCACTGAGTTCAACACTCATTTTACAAATGATGAAAGTGATGCACACAGAGGTTAGCAACTTTTCCAGGGTCACATAGCTAGTGTCTAAAACCAGGATTTGAATCTAGGTCCTCTTGACTCCAACTTCACTGCCCTATTCAGTGTCCTATTATGCACTATATCTGACTGCATTTGAAGACCACAATGATCTTTGAATAATGCTTTGATTTGATATATTTTCAAGTCATTTATGACTAGGTAATTTGTGACCTCTCTACAATCATCTCTAGAAAATCAGCATATTGATGACTGATTATTAACTATGCATTTCTCTGTCACTCAGGATGCATCTCTGCTGCTTCCTACTAACAATATATGCTCAGGGAAAGCAAATGAAATTAACAGAAATAAAATAACATATGAATTGGGTGCTATGTTTAATCGCCATTTTGTAGAACAGGAAAACTGAGGCAGAGAGAGATTAAATGACTTGCCCAGGGTCACACAGCTAGTATTCTGCCTGTGGCAGGATTCAAATTCAGTTCTTCCTGACGCCAAAGCCAAAACAGCCTCCATTATGATTCCAATACTTCCATGGGTTCTTGATCTTTGGAATATGGACATTCCCTCTAGTGGTACAGATTCCTAGCCACACTTTTTCATCCTCTGTGACACTTGTTCATATCCTCCTGTAAATCCACCAGTGGGCCAATGTCTTTCCAACAAAACATGGATAACAACAGAGCTTGCAAGCTATCCATAAAGTTGCCTCTTGCCTATCTACACAAGAAGTCCACCTTCTTGTTTGCTTATACATCCCCGTAATGGTGTCTATTTTATCCCGCTTTTCCAGCAACTCCTCATTCATAATATGCTACAGACTCTTCACACTCCACATATTTCCTTGGGTGTCCAGTACAGCCCAATTAGAATAAAATGTAATTAGGAGATATTTATCAAACTAAATAAAAATAAAATGCAACATAAAAAAAGTTAAGCTAAGGTTTTCTAAGCCTCATTTCTATGTAAGTTTGACAACAGGCCTTCATTTTCTTATTCATTCTTCCTGAACTGAAAGTTGAGTTGAAGCTTCATCTTGAATTATTGTCAGTTTTGGAATGTCTACAGTGTTTTGGAGCTTGATGCTCATCAGAACATCATCAATCAATCAACAAGCATTTATTAAGCACTTATTATGTGCCAGGCACTCTGCTAGCTTCTGGGATGCAAAGATCCCTATCTTCAAAGATCTTAGAGTCTACAGGGGAAGACAGGGGAAGGAGAGGAAATGCACATATATACAAAATGTACAGGTATGAGGTAAGTGGGAGGGGGATATCCTCACTTTCAGATATCTTGAAAAGCAGAACATTTGATGCAGTCCAGTTCTTCCTATCTTTTTTTTTTTTGCCACTTCTACTTCTCAAGTAACACTGTGATGCTAGAATCAAAATGTGAATGGGGAAGAATTTGCTATAGAAACATCCTCAGATGTCTTCCACTGTAACTTTTTCCAATTTCATTCTTAAATTGGGACAATGTGCCTCAGTTGGATCTCTTGCCAAGCTTTCATTTTTTTCCCTCCAATGTTTCCCTTTTTTAAGGAGGTGATACAACTCATAATCTTTTGTCATACTCATCCATAAGATTTTACAAACTGGTTTATGTTATAAATCAACAGTGCCTTCTGCAGCCACCTACCTCTCTTTCTGGAAAAAAGGACAAATTTGCTAATTAAGGTGGTTTCTATTTTCTTTTGATCTCTTCATCCGTCAAATGACCAAAATCAGCTAAACTTTCTTTTTTTTTTCCTGAGGAAATGATGATAGCTTATGTCAATATCCACTCTTTTCTCTATTTCTCATTTTGAGGCACTGATGGGCATATAAATGGGAATGGAAATGATTTCATTTGCATACAGAATTTCTGAATGATTCAGCTCTTTATCAACGCAAGTCAGGACACTGATACTGTGTTTAAGTAAGTCAGGTTGGAGTTGCCCCAAATGCATGCCATTATCTTCTCATTTTTATTCTTTCTCCTCACTGGGATTTTATTTTGATCTTTCTCTAACAAGAAGGTAGGATAAAGACAGCTCAATTGGAAATGACCCCCACGTAAAAAGTAAACAGTTATTTCTTATTTGCCAAAATACAACCATTTTCATTTTTGTAATTTTAGTTGGTGCTCACAGCGTTCAGTGCTTCCAAGCTCTTATATTAAAGAAACTATTCATGACATATAGACATGAGTCTTATAGAATCTATTCTTTGGTGTCTCTTATTTCTTACTCTTGAACCATATTTTCTAAAATGTTTTTCACTGTCCTTTTCCTTTAAGTTACCAAGTATTAAATTATGTGTTGACTTAATTTGGAAGATTTTAATAAATTCTTCGTTGCAACAGATAACGCAGTATAGCTGAAATTATTGTTATAGTGGTCTTTTTTCAGATATTATTATGAGCACTGCAATAGATCAAGCATCTCATGAAACGATATTGCTTGTTGTCTTTGAGTATCTGATAAAAGAAACTCTGCTGACTCATTTATTTGCCTCTCCAAAGAGAATCTGTGAGCCATCTTTCCATTTAACTACTATCTTTAGTAACCTGGTTTAATTTATAGCAAGAATGTCACTATTGATACGTTCCAGATCCTCTATTAGTTTGTCCATTAACATTGATCATTGCATGATGATCTCATACATTTATTGAACAAGTATTTATCAAGCACCTATTATATGCCAGGAATTGTGCTAAGCTCTAGGAAATGCAAAGAACAAAATAAATGTCTAATCTCAAGAAACTTAAATTCTGTTAGGGGAAAACATGCACACAGAGAAGTAAATACAGTATATACACACACACACACATATACATACATACATATATATATACACACACCACACATATACATACATATATATATACACACACACACACACACACACACACACACACACACAAAAATAAATACAAAGCAATATTGAAGTTAGACGAATGCTAACAACTGAGAAGATCAGGGACACCTTATGCAAGAGACAGTGATCGAGCCTTAAACGATGCTAGGGACTCCAAAAGCAGATGTAAAGAGTAGATGCATTCCAGATCAGAGGGGACATACTTTGCATATGGAATGCCATGTATGAGTATAGCAAATAAAATGGTTTGGCTCGAATATTGAGTACAAAAAGTGAATAATGTGAAATAAATCTAGAAACACAAGCTGGAGTTGGATAGTGAAGGTAATGTCAAACAAAGGACTTTATATTTGTTAAGCAAAGCGGTGACAGGGTCAGACCTATGCTTTGGGAATAACCTTTTCATATCTGTGTGGAAAATGAACTAGACAAAGGAGACAGCTGAGGCAGAAAAACCAAGTAGGAGAATGTTACAACAGTCCAGGCAAGAAGTGATAAGGGCTTGTACTACTGTAGTTGTCCTGTGATTGACACATACAGGAGAGATGTCACAGGGTTAGAAAGAATAAAACCTAATTACGGTGAAGGAGGTGAGAGTAAAAGCTCAATGATGACTAAAGTTACAAAGCTCAATGAATGGAAAGATGGTGGTATCCTCAAAAGAAATAGTAAAGTTTGGGGAGAGGGGTGGGTTTGAAGATTAAGTCTGATATTCCTACATTACATTCAATTGGACATGTCTAACAAGCAATTAGTGATACTGAATTTGGAAAAGAGACTAGGAACCATTTAGTATTGGTAATTTTTTCATGGGTTACCCTGGCCAAAGATTTCTTTACCATGTGGCCAGCCCTAATAAAAAACCTAAATATCATGCAATCCATGCAAATCCAGCCAATGTAAGCAAATTCCTAAACTTATGAAATTTCAGTGTTTAAATCACTGATATGATTAAGTGATTTAGGCTATCCCCCTGCTCCCTGAGCTGCCATTATTGACAGTGCACCTTTTCTCATAATTTCCTGACGCTGCTCTTCATCTTGTAACAGCCACCAATGACCCTCCAAAAAACAATAAAATCTGGAAAAAATTAAGATATGATCTTTGGACCACATAGGTAACCCTGTGATACTGAATAGGGTGGGCAGAGAAAGAAGAAAAGTTACAGGAAAAAGCTGTAGCTTTGAAGTAAAACTATGGATTCAGAAGCAGGTGAAGAAACTAGATTAAAAAAAGTAATTTTAGAGAGTTGGCAACAGGCGGCAGACTCTTAGGCAGGACTTTATTGCCCTCAAATATCTTCCCATTTGCTACCTAAAATTCCATTATTAGAATGTTACAAGATCATAGATCTAAGACTGAAAGAAACCTCAGAAGTCATTTGGTCCAACCAAATTTTTGGTTCATTTTACAGCTGAGGAAAATGAGTCTCAGGTAGGTAAGTGACATTCCCAAGTTCACACTGGTAGAAAATGTCAGAGATAGAATTTGAACCTTATTTGTGTTCACCAGCAAACACTTTTAAAAGAGAAATATACAGGTGAAGGTTTCATCACCTTACTTTTATTCTACTACCTAGAAGAGATAAGCTGTAAACATATGTTGGAATGTTAATTCAGGCAAAATGGAGAAAAAGTTATATGACAGCAAATTTTGGAACATGGAATTATTTCCAGAGGATGGAAGGCATGGAGGGAGATAAAACTATGAACAGTAGGAATTTTGGGCAGCCTAAGGAGACTGGGTGGCACCAGGAGATAAGAGAGGGTCATATAAAGGGAAGTAGGAAAATGCCAACGACTAACTCCACCTGTGGGTATCTCCACATGCTGAAAGAATAAAGAACTCTGATTCCTCCTTTTCTTCTACTTCCTTTCCTATATCATATACTTCATCTGCTGCAAGGACTAAGAATTATTAATAATGCATTTCAATTACACCATCGCTTAGATAGGTTTCTGAGGACATTCCTAAAAACCAGCACAACTTATAACAGATTCTGTAAGACAATTAACTCTTTTTCTTCTCTTTTTTTTTTTATGGGACCTACAGCTTCATTGGCATAAGGAACTGAAGTAAAGAACTTCCTGACCAAAGCATATCCTTGCTTGTGATTTATAATCTTAGAGAGTTACCTGGGACACTTATAGGTTAAGTCATACAGGATCACACAGCCAGTTCTTTTCAGAGGTGTAACCTGAATTTAGCTTTTCCTGACCCCAAGGACAATTTTCTGTCCATTACACCATGCTGCCACGCATCTATAGTTCAAAATAGTTGACTTAGAAATAAATTTTATGAATATGTGTTGGTTAATGGGCAAATTGGGGATCTGCTTCTGAAGTTTTAGATTATCTGTGCTACTGCTCTCCTTTATTAGCACAGATAATGAGGAGTGGCTATACACATATTTTTTAATTTAACTAGAAGTTGACATGATAACCTGGCATATCAGGAAACTGATCCCTGGGATATGTAAGATGTCACATGTCCAGGCACTAGTCTATTACAGTTTCTCAGATCACTAGCAAGGACTACTATATCCCTATGGTATGTACCAGGTATATTCTCATTCAAACTTGAAAATCTCTAAAAGGCTAGGATGATTATGGGGTCACTTGGGAAGACTAAATTAGTTCAAAAATCACAGGCATGCCCTGAATCAAACAATCCCTGGGAATACCAATGATAGATTCCAAATAACAGGGGAGACCCCAGAACCAAAATGACTAGAGAGGCACATTTTAACCTTCTATTTACACACAAGTATTTCATAAGAGAAAAATGGCTATTCTATGTTTGGCATAATTAATGAGTAAGGTATAGAAAACAGCCTATTGCCTGAAAAAAAGTCTCTGAAATAGAGTTGTCTTGGAAGAAAACAGATTTTCATTTTCAGTATAAAAAAACTACCACATAGTAGCTTTTTGTCATTTATTTATATTTTAGATTTATAGACATCTGAATTATAGCAACATGTTAAATGGACATTTTACTAAATTAGTAATATAAAAAGTGATTTGTAATTATAATTAATATAATGTATTTATATATGTGTATATATAATATATATTTATATATATATGTACATATATATAATTCACTGTTGTCCATTTAAATGCTTTCAAAGCTATAAAAAATTGACTCCTTGTGAAATTCTATTCCTACTTCACTTTACCTGTTTTTCTATGTTTCGAAGAAGTAGTGTAGGGCTACTTGGTGACATTTCAAAATCTTGTTCTGGTAAAGAATCTTGTCTTTCCTGGGGAACCTGAGAATTCCCTGTGGTGTTTAATAAAGTTCCTTGGTCTGTCAATTGTATCTGCTTCTTCAAAATATCTTTTGGAAGTTGGCATTCTTCTAGGACCACTGCTCCCTAAATAACAACAATTAAACACAATTCAATTAAGGACAAAATTCATTCCATATGATTTTTAGAATTACATATAAATGCAGATTTCTTAATACTGAAGCAACAGAAAGCGAAAATTTAGAGAGTATAATTTTTTTGAAAACCTGAAATGTATTAAAGCATATGTAATGAAAAAGAAATCAGACTATCATTTGCGTAATTTATTTCCTTGCTTTATAATCAGTAAATATAGGACTTTGAGCTGAAAATGACTTTAAAAATACATCTAGTCCTATTCTCTCATTTTACAAATGAAGGGAGTCTGACAGGTCACATGACTTGCCAAAATTCACACCAGTAACTACCAAAAAGTGAAAAAAGAAAAATGAATAATAATCTTGCTAAAGCATGCTGACCACATCACTCCCTGAACAAGAATCCCTATTTCCTCTGAAATAAAATCCAAATATTCAGCTGAGCATTTGAAGCCCTTTCAATACCTTTCTGGACTTATTACACATTACTCCAAATTTGCCCTTCCTTTAACTCAACATTCCATCTCTTCTATGCCTTTGCAAAGGCTTTTCCTATATGACTAGAAGACTCTTTCTTCACTACCATCTCCTAGAATTCTTGGCTTTCTTCAAAGCTCAATTCAGTTTGACCAGCTCCTATGGGAAGTTTTCCCTAGTTATCAAAATTTACTCTCTCCTCAAATTATCTCATATTTACTTATCTATGTAAATGTTGTATTCTGCCAATAGAATGTAAGTATCTGTACTCTCTTTCATAGTCAAACTCCTAGACAAAACTGTCTCCACTCATTGCCTAGGTGCAGGGGAAAGCATGGTGAAGTGGAAAGAACGCTGAATCTGCAATCACACTGAGTTTGAATCCTGGCTCTCTGTGACCTTGGCCAATCACTTCACCTCTTTGGGCATCAATTAACTCAACTGCAAAAATAAGGCATTTGGAGTAGATAACATCTAAGGTAATTTTCATCTCTAGAAATGTTATCCTGACCTCTCACTCACTGCTCAACCTCTTGCTATATGGATTCTTTGTCATCACTTAACTATACAAACTACTCTTTCCAAAGCTACTGTCTCTTAATTGACAAATCCAAGGTCTCTCTAAGTACTTTGCACAGTACCTGGCACATAGTAAGTGCTTAATAAATGCTAGTTGACTGACTGACCTTTTATATCCTCATTCTTCTTGACTTCTCTCCATCATTTGATACTGCTAATCACCTTCTCTTCCTAGGTACTCTCCCCTATCTGGGTTTTCATGACACTACTTTCTCTTTTTTTCCTATTACCTGACTAATAGACCCTCGGTCTTCTTTCCTGGATCATGATTCTTGCCCTGCCCTCTAACTGTGAGTAAAGCTCTGTACTGGGCTCTCTTTTCTTTCTGACTACATACTCTTTCTCTCTCTGGATGATCTCATTAGCTCCCATAACTTCAAGTATTATCTTTATATAGATAACTCCCGTATCTATACATCCAACATTTTCTCCTTTCTCCTAAGCTTCAGGTTTATATCACCAACTGCCTATTGTATATTTTGATTTATACGTCCCAAAGACAGTTCAAACTCAACATGCACAAAATAGAAATTTATACCTTTTTGGAACTGCTCTATTTCTGTTGAGGGCACCATCCCTGTAGGTCCTCAATTTCACTATTTCAGAGCTGTTCTCAACTCTTTACTCTCACTTACCACATCTTTTCAGTTGCTATTTTGTATTGGGGCGGGGGGGAAGTAGTTTTTAATGTCTGGGAATCCCTATCTCACCCAAGCTGGAAATGCTGAGGCTACCCCCTAGGCCAAACTACTGTGGATCCGCATGGAAGCTTTGATCTGCTCCATTTCTCATATGCACTGTTTTGCCTCTCCTTAGGCCTCCTCTATTTCAGGTGGCCACCAGATTGGTGCTCAACTGAGCAGATACCAGATTGGCTTTAAAGTCTTACTGCAACCCAAAACTCCCAAACTCAAATGATCTGCCAGCTTCAGCCTCAGCCTTCTAGAGAGCAGAGTGTAATCCCTGGCATGGACCACCACTTCCAGCTGAAGTCTGCTTAATTCTACTTCCATAGCCCTCACATTCATCACCTTATCTCTATTCACATAGATACCACTCTGATCTAGGTCTTCTTTTAGGCTGTCATTACCTCTCACCTTGTCCTTACTGCCTTGATCAAATCCCTTCTTTCTCCAATCCATACTCCATACAACTGGCAAAGTGATATTTCTAAAGCACAAATGTGACCTTGTCCCTCCCCTACCCAATAAGCTCCAATGGTTCCTATTACCTCTATGATCAAATACAAACTCTTCCATTTGGCATTTAGAGACCTTCATAATCTGGCTCCAAACTACCTACCTACAATTATCCTCCTTCAATCATTGTTTCTGTCCAATCAAAGTATACTACTAGCTGTCCTTCATAAACAACACTCCACCTTCTGCCTGCATGCCTTTTTACTAGTGATAGTTCCTTGTACCTGAAATATATCCCCTCTTCACTTCTACCTGTTAGAATACTTCCTTGTTTCTTTCAAAGCTCAGCTTAAACACCACGTCCTAGAGGAGGCTGTTCCTGATTCTCCCAACATGCTGATGCCTTTTCTCCCAAACTACCTTATATTTAATATATTTTGTAACTGTAGTTCTGTGAATAAAATGTAAGTTCCTTGACATCAGAGGCTATTTCAATTTTGTCTTCATGTGCCCAACATGTAGCAGGTCATAGTTGCCTAATAAATGTTTGTTGAATTTAACTATTCTCTTCATCACTCAAAGCATTCAAATGTTTAGATGTTGAGAAGATTCTTACAATGGGTAAAAGTAGTTCACATTTATACAGTGCTTCACAGTAACAGAGCACTGTTAAATGCATCACCTCTTTTAATGCCAACAAGCGTGTTAGGTTAACACCATTACTTAGATGGATCAGGAGAACATCTTCCACATATTGTGCCATCCCACGTACCTTACCTTCTACAATTCTTGTCCATGTTTTTCTATAAATTCTCCCTTGATGTTCTACATAATACACTAGAGGATTTTCTTTACTTCTCGGAATATTTCTGGAGTGTCAATTTAATACTCAGGTTACCGTTCCATTATTATTATCCCTCACTCTCATTACATGACTAGTTCATTTTCTTTTCTGGTTATACTTGTTCTTGATACTTTGACACCAGAAGGAAATTATTAGAAAGATAGGCTTTTGCAGCAGTGAGCAGCTTGGGATGATTTAAAGTATTGCTAAATTCCCTAAATGCCATTCAGTTTGACATCCTTCTTATTAAATTCTAACATTAGGTCACTGCTCATATGGAGTGCTTGTCCAAGACATCCATATATTACATATTGACAAAATAACTCCACATGTTGCCCATGTAACTGTATGTATGACATAATCTGGTATTATGGAAACTTACTCATCTGTAAAATGGGTTGAACATACACTACTTACTTCACTGAGAAATGAGGAAAGAATTTTGTAATATATTTGTCATCCATTTTGTTTTCATAGCATTGATGTTTAGAATAATCTCTGCATGCCATAATGTGTTGGATTTATAGTTAGGAGAGACCTAGGTTCAAACCCCACCATGAATATTTGCTAGCTATGTGACTACAAGCAAGTAATTTAACCTGAGTTTTACTTTGCTCATGTGTAGAACTAAAATGATACGTCTATCTCATGGGGATGTAAGGATCAAATGAACTAATACATATAAAAATCCTTTAAGAAAGCTTTGGAATAGTCTATATCTCAATGAAAATACAATGTTTGTACAAATAGAAACATTTAGAGAACCTAAACATTGATAGGGAGATTGTCTTCTATTTGGACTCTGCATAAGAAATCTATGACATTGGCTATGCACATTATATAGATATGCATATATCTTCCTGTTTTACGCCCTGATTGAGAGCAGTAATTAATGGATCACTGAATAAAGTTATTTTCATACAATCTTATCTGATTTCCAAATATGCATGGATGCCACGTTTCTTGAGGAGAAACTTTATGGTTGTATTTTGTTCTACCACGTCAAATGCTTCTTTTGTTTTTTAATCAACAAGTATACAAAGTGGGATGTTATATTTTCTGCATCTTTCTGTCAAATTATATGATTGTGAAAATGGGTTCAGTTATAGAAAATCACCTGTGAAAATCTATTTGGTCTTTTCTCATGCTTTCATCAAAGACAACTTTAATGTTTGCACAGATAATCCGTTTCCATAAAATGAGAAAGTTGTCCTAGAGATAGGAAAGTACATCAGTAATTAATGACATCTCTTGGTTACCCTTTGGGGGTTCTTAAAATTGCTTATAATATTCTCCACTCATTGTCTCTTTGATTTATCGTAAAGACATACTGTCATGCTTTAAAATTATGTTGCTTCCAGCATACTTCTAGATGGATTTTTGTCAAGTCCAATCCCTCTAAGTTCATCTTTAAAAATGTCATTACCACTGTCTCACTGAGTATTTCAGCTAAGATGATAGAATTTAAATATTGTTGCTGATGAAAAGAGATCACAATAGAAATGCCTTCAATTCTGATAATTTTCCATACATATTTGTTGCAATCCCAGTGTCCTCTTAAAAATGTTCTGAAGATGATTTAGCTTATGGTTGGTTCTCATATCAAATCCTTTATAGGCGGCTTATTTATTTGTTTATTACTTTCCGCAAGGCAATAATGCCTGTAATATCCTCCCCTGTGCAGTGGCTGTCAAACAAGTTTGCACTCTAAAGATGTGTCACCATTTTCCATCAGGTTTCTGTGCTTGGCAAGATTAATTATTTGCTGGCTCATGTGACTTCTGGATTCTTTGGGTCTTATTGTAATAGTTTTTTAAATAAGTTAAATTTCTCAATGCAATAAGGGGTAAATCAGAGTCAATGTCCTTACTTATCCATTTTCTGTTTGTCAAGGTTGATTACTTGCTCTATTAAATTATAAAAATTGTATGTTACAGATACAGCATACAT